CCCCCCATCTGGACCAATGCCATAGCCCCTAACCACTCACCCTGCTCCATCCTCACCCCCCAACTGTGCACACAACAAACCTGAGCAAGTCACTCCACTGCTTCTGCTTACAGCAGCCCCTGTGGCTATTTGAACTTGAATTCATTGACGTTCAATCAAATTAGAAATTCAGTTCTTCAGCGCAGCAGCCGCATTTCAGGTGCTCAGAAGTCACATGAGGAAGCCCCTGGCTGCTGTATTGCTCAGCCCAGAGAATAGAACACGCCCATCAGGGTGGAAAGTTCTATCAGACAATGCAGGCTTGGAACCTTCCAGAGGCTTTTCCTTGCATTTAGAATAAAACCCAAACTTCTTACAAGCCCGCAAAGCCCTTCCTCGCCTCTGATGTCACCTCCTGCCACCCACACCAGCCTCGTCTCCTACGCCAGCTGTTCCTCAAACACACCTACAACTTTGAAGTCTGCCTGTCTTCTCCTTTCTGCTCCTTGTCCTTAGGATAGGCTCAGATGTCACCTCCCTGGCAAGCCTTCCCCCGACCTCTGCCTCCTCCTGGATCCCTCTGCTATGGCCTGGCTCTGCTTGCCTTGTCCTTTCCTCCCATACACACATGCGCCTCTCTCCCTGGGACGTGTGCTTCTCTGGGCCACACACATATTGGATTCCTCATGTGGCCAGCGCCTGCTGAGCACTACTACCTACTGAGCACGGGGGGTCAGTGGGGAATGCGACAGACACATCTCTGTCCTCAGGAGTTTAGATCTAGCTGGGGACAGACACCGAATGGGGCATTACAGAATGTCATGTGTCTGGACCCTATGTTCCTCCTCCTTCCTCCCTTCCTTGGGAGGGATGGATGATAAGAAAGCTCTGCAGGAAAGCACAGGGACCCAGCGTGGAGTGCTTTCAGGAGGGGCCGGGGACAGGAAGAGTGTCCTTGAGGCCCGAAGCTGTCCCACGGGGGAGAGAGCCACTATCTTGCTGTGTCCTTGTGCCCAACAACAAGCCATTTGTTCTACCAAGAGAACAGAGCCTGCAAACCCAAACTGAACAGCTTCAGAGGTTCTGAAGTGAGTTTACTTATGTACAATATTTAACATGGGGCTGAGTGGGGCCTGCAAACCAGATAAAAGGACACCTCACTGATAGTTGAAGCCACCCCTCCAGAGTACCCTTTTCTTTCCCAAGTGGTTCATGATAATACCCCAGATGAGCCCACAATTCCCCAAGGTCATCCGAGGAAGGCAGCTAATATTGATGGTGAGCTGCTGTGTGCCACACCCCGCGAGGTCAGGACTTATTACACCCATTTTAAAGAAGAGGTCACTGAGGATGTGAGCACTGCTGGGATTCCAGCCTCACTTTGTCTGGACCCAAAGGCAGAGCATCAACTCCTTCTTTTTCCTCAGCTGCAAAACAGGCTTCAGAGGGCCCTACCTGCCTGCAGTGGATCTGCAATGTAAAGGAGCTGGGTTGGAGGGGCCAAGGGGGCTCAGGAGGGGCGACAGCAAGAGGGTGGAGAGGCCTGCAGGGGGTGGCAGTGAGCCACACCTGGAGGTGGCTGGAGGGCGGGCCCCAAGGGTTTTCAGGCGACTATCCCAGGGCACCAAGGGCACTGATGTTAACAATCATGCCTTTTATCGGAGCGTGTTTTGTTTCCCTCTCTGGGTGCTTACACACAGTGCTCATGGCATTTTGCATGTGAGGGTGAAAACTGAGACTCAGAGAAGGGAAGAGAATTGCCCAAGTCACAGAGCGTGGAGTGGGGGAGACCTGATCCTGAGCCAAGCTCCCTTGGCCACTAGCCTTAGGCTCTGTTCCTCTAGATTAGACTTTGGGGCATTGGCTCTGGAACCGGGTGGAGGGCAAGATAACCCCTCACATCCACGCAGGGACAACAGCCCTCGGAGGCAGGTATTCTTGTTCTCATTTCAACGCCTGGGGAAACCGAGGCAGAGAGAGGCAGAGGCAGTCAGGACTGAAGCCCAGCTCTCTGGTTGACAAATTCTGTTTCCTTTTCCCCTGTCCCAGCAGGCTGGTTTGGGTATTTTCATTCTCCCCCCATCAGAATCCGTATAGAGTGCTCTCTGCTGTGTGCCTAAGATCTCTGGGCTTCTGTCGGGTACCATCAAAGATTTTGTTTCACTGCCTGCCCTGGGCTGTCCTGTGTTCCACCCGGCCCTGCCCGCCACAGTGGAAGCCGGTGAACCCTAGAGGGAGATGAAACAGGTAAATTCTGAGTCAGGCAACCCCAGAAAACTACACTGGCTTTTGGAGCTCAGGAGAGGACAGCGGACAAACACGGCTCAGGACAGCAGAAAGGGAGACTTGGGTGTTGAGTGACCTAGGGGAGAAATTCCTATTGATTATCTCTGTGACAATCCCGTGCGGCAGTTGTTGCTTCATCACCCACCCCTGGGTCCACAACGCTGGAGGCCCGTTGGCACACAGGGGCTGTTGGCTGCCCAGCCTGCCTCGCCGGGCGACCTGCCTGTCCGCGCTCCATTCTGGGTAGGGCCCGCTGGGTGGCCCCTAGTGCGCTCAGCCCTGACGCTGGTGAGTGGCCGCCGGGGCGTGGGGAAACGAGGATCCAGGTGTTCCTGTTCCCAGAGCGCAGGAGGCCTCTGCGTTGGACTGCTGGGTTCGCCGCCGTCGGGGCCTCAGTTTTCCCAAGCGCGGGAACCGAAGGAGAGCAGAGGCCGGGTGGAAGGAGAAGGAGGAGGGGCCACCCTGCGCCCCCGCCCGCGCCCGCGGCGCGGCCCCTTTAAGAGGCCCGCCCG